GGGAAAGAACCCAGGAGTCCTGGCTCCCAGACCCCCTGCTCTAGCCACTACACCCCACTCCCCTCCCAGAGCTGGGGAAAGAACCCAGGAGTCCTGGCTCCCAGACCCCCTGCTCTAGCCACTACACCCCACTCCCCTCCCAGAGCTGGGGAAAGAACCCAGGAGTCCTGGCTCCCAGACCCCCCAACCACTCGCTCACACTCCCCTGCCCGGCCAGGGGTCTCCCTAGCCCCGCACTCGCGTTTACCTCGCTCCGCAGCCCCCCGCACGGCCAGGGCTCCCCGCTGTCCTCCCAGGGCTGAGGCCGGTCAGCTCGATGCAGGCACCGGGCTGCCCCGGCTGCTGTCGGCTCCCTCCGCAGCCCAACCCGCCGGTGCTGCAGGGCCGGGGCGGAAGGACGTCAGCCCGCAGGAGGCACCGAGCGGCTGGTGGCCCCGGGGCTGGGGAGGGAGGCAGGGGCGGGCAGAGCCGCACACCCTGCACGGGGCATGTGCCCGCCCCACACCGGAAAAGAAGCTGGGAGATGGAGGGGGGTGAAAAGTGAGGGGGGGCAGGACTCCTGGGTTCTCTCCCCAGCTCCAGGAGAGCAGTGGGGTCTAGTGGTTAGAGGGGGGCCAATGCCGGGGGTGGGGAGAGGAGGGGGGGACCAGGTGGGGGGGCGCTGTGTGGGGGAGGGGGGCACTGAGGAGTGTGTACGGGGGGGCACCAGGGACGGCGGGGTTGGGGGTGACTCCGATTTACACCAGCCGGCGACCAGAACCGGTGTCAGACCCCGCAGCGGGGCTGAGCGGGGAACCCGGAGCCTGTTCCAGGCACCCCCTGGCGGGCAAGGGGGGAATCCGGTGCTCGCTTTGCACCGTGTGAACGAGGTCGGGGGCGGCTCCAAGGCGGGGCCGGGATCACATGAGCGGATGCAGAAGGGAAAGTAACTGGGCCTGAGCGAGCCAGGCCGCCCCCCGGCCATGGGGCAGTCGGAGAGCCGGGCTCCCCCGGTCCTGCTGGACCTGAACCCGCTCCCGGACGAGCTCCTGGCGCAGATCCTGAGCTGGGTCCCGGGCCGCGCCCTGGTGACCCGCTGCCGGCTGGTGTGTCGCCGCTGGCGGGACCTCATCGACGGACCCACGGTCTGGCGGCTGCAGGGCGAGAGGTGCCCGGGCTTGGGGGCCACCCTGGCGGCCGCCCGCCTCTGCCTCCCGCCGCAGTGGAGCCGGATCTGCGTCCTGGAGCCCTTCGGGCGCAACCTGGTCCGGAACCCCTGCGGGCAGGGTGGGTGCCGGACCGGGGGGGCGTGGGAGCGGGAAGGGGGGATTATAGGGAGGGGCGAGTCCAGGGCAGGTTGGGGGGGCACCATAACAGTGGCCACAGTGGGTCAGACCCATGGTCCATCTCCCCCAGTGTCCTGTCTTCCGACAGTGGCCAATGCCAGGTGCCACCGGGGGTGGGGAGGGAGAGGGCCCAGGTGGGACAGTAGGAGGTGAATGGGGAGCACTGAGGTGTGTGTATATGGGGAGGGGCACCAGGGAGAGTGTGGGTTGTGTTGTGGGGGCAAAGGAGAGGGAGCACCAGAGTGGGGAAAGGGGAAAAAATTAGCACTGGTGGGGGATGAGAGGGCACTGGGGCATAAAGGTACTTGGGGTACTGAGATGGGTGTCAGGAAAGGGGGGGAGTCTCCCTCCTCCCCTGCAACCCCCCCTCTCCCAGGTATTTAGTTCTCTCTCTGTTTATTTTGGAGAGCCACATTAACCGACTCCTCCCCTTCCCCTGGGAATGGGTGCCCACCTGGGCATCATCCCCCACCCCATCAAACCAGCTCCCACCACACCTCATACCCCTTCTTGACACAGCCTCTTCCCGCAGATCAGTTCAGTCACTGGCAGGTGGAGCATGGGGGCCATGGCTGGAAGGTGGAAGAGAACCGCTGCCCGGTCGAGGGCGCCCCGGCCCAGACCTGCTTTGTCTCATCCTTTCAGTGAGTCGGTCCCCTGGGCCTTCCCGTTTGCCCCCCACCTTCCTCATGGGGCAGAGAGCTACCCGTTCTCCAAAAGCCAGACCTGTCCTGAGCTGGCGTGTGCCCCTATGAATCCAGAGTCGCTCTCGATCGATCCAGCATAAATGAGACCAAGAGGTGCCAGGCCTGAGTCTGCCCTGCACCTTGTACTGTCATGTCCCAAATATATGTACACACCAGTAAATCCGGAGTGGCTCTGGATTTAGGCTACACTACAGATTTCTGCCGGCACAGATCTGTCGGTCAGGCGTTGGGAAGAGAGTTGTGCTAGCCAGTGTGGATTCAGTGATACAGTACGGTGCACTGTTACTAGGAGAGTTTGTGTTGCTCAGGGAGGGTGGTTTTAGTTGCCAACAGGGTGTCCTGGGATTCTTATACCGGCAAAGTGCTCCTGCTGTGGACGTGGTCTAAGGGTGTGTCTACACTGGCAAGTTTCTGCGCCACAAGTTATACCGCTTTTATTAAAGTGCTGGAATTAAACCGCTGTTGTGTGTCCACACTGTGCTCCTTGTGACGCTGGAGCACATCCACATTAGCAGCTCTTGCAAGGGCAAAGACAGCAGTGCATTGTGGGAGCTTCCCACTGTACAAACTGGCCGCAGGGGGCTTTGGGAAGGGTTTGCAATGCCTCATGGGTAGGCACAGTGTCACATGATGCAGGTTTCCCAATCCCACTGTTCCATGGGCATCCTACTACGTTGCCAGCTGCTTTTCAACTGAAGTGGGTGGAGGGGGGGGGAGAGACAGTGTGTTTTGGGGGACAGAGGGTGTCAGATGCTGTCTTCTAAGTTCAGACAGTGGCAGGATGCAACCAGTCCTGAGGCAGGGAACCGGGGAAACCCTGGGATGTCACTTGAGGGATTAAGGGACAGCTCTGGAAGCCAATTACAGCGCAATAGCAATCAAGTGTCTACACTGGCAATGAGCGCTGGAGCCTCGGTGCAAACAGCCTTACGACTCGGCGAGGTGTTTTTTGCAGCGCTGCAACTGAGGAGTTTGGCGCACAAGGTGGCTCAGCAGTGTGTACACGTCTGCAGTTTGAGTGCAAAAAGCTGCTTCACTGCGCAGAAACTTGCCAGTGTAGACAAGCCCTAAGTAAATCTGGAGTTGCTCTGGATTTGCAGCAGTATAACCAAGATCAGATGCAGGCCCTGACTCTGTGCTGCCCTTGTGTCGTCATGACACACAAACACTCTACCCAGGTGTCGGTATCGACCCGAGGTGTCTGGCAGGGGAGAACTGGGAACGGTGTCACTCCAGATTTACGAGGCCTTCTCTGCACGGCTGATTTCCCCTGATTCCAGTCCCAGACGTAGCTGCCCCGGCAAACTCCTATAGCAGCTATTATTTGCACTGCGGGAGCTGATCCCATGAGTTCAAATCATGGCTTATGGCCGCTTTGCCTGTCTACACAGGGAGCTGTCCTGGGGCAGTGCCCGGAGGCGTGAACACCTGAGCTCTGTTCCTGGCTCTGCTGTGTGACCTTGAGCAAAAACGACTTCCTCTGTCTGTGCCTCGGTTTCCCCTCTGCGCAGCGCCCTGCACAATGTGGCCCTGATCTCAGTTAGGTGCTATTGCAATATCTCATTAGGGTTTCCTGTCCCCCTCTGTAGGTGGTGCATCAAATCGCAGCTCGTAGATCTTCTAAAGGAGGGGTTATGGGAAAAACTGCTGGATACCTACCAACCGGAAATCTACATCGCCGATTGGTAAGTTTCACCCTCTTCTCCCTGGAGGCCTTAATGGTGACTTGCTGAAAGAAATGGGATTGTGTCTTTGCTGCTGATTTCTGATGACTAAAATACGACCTCTGTGGTTTCCTTCATTTCTAGTTATAGGGGCCACCTGTGCCTCAAAATCAAAGGGTTTGGATTTGTTTGGGGGTTGTTACTTTTTTAAGCCTTAAAATTATCAAGTCTGTTGAACCTGGAGGACCCAGAGATGTCAGTTGGGAGCCCTCTTAGCCCTTAATTAAAGGTGTGAGAACGGTTGGATTTTTAACAGTGAGTTTCTCCCGCCCAACTCTTGGTCAGGGGCTTGCGTCAAATGCACGTCGCAGGTCACGTCTGTTCTCGGACTTGCTGGCTAGGATTGTAGTCGGGCTTCCCTGAAGTTGCTGGGCTAGACAAGACCAGCGGCTGAGGATGTTACAGTGCTTGGAGCTAAGATGCTGGTGCAATCCCCTGATTGATGGGGACCAAAAAGCCGGTGGTGCTGCGTGTGTTGGATTCGGCTGTGTGTGTTCCCAGGATTCCTGTTACCTTCTACATTCGGGGGGCTGTGTCCTGTCTCCCTCTTGCTGCCCTCCGAGGTTCCTTGTTCCCCATCATCTGCTCCCGTCCCACAGGTGGGGTGCCCGGGAAGACTGTGGCTGTGAATACTCCATCTGCGTCAGGCTCCTGGCTGCCAACAGAACAACTGTAATCGCTGAATTCCAAGCCACCCCCGATCCCATACAACAGTGGAACGACGCGCAGTATCACCAGGTGAGCCGGCTCCGTTGCCAGCTCTCTGGGAATATTTGGGGACCGGGAGTCAGACACCTGGGTTCTAGAACCGACTCAGCCACTGGGTTGACTTTGGGCAAGTCACTTCCCCTCCCTGTGCCTCCGTTTCCTTGTGAAAGGGGGATAACGATACCAAGTAGGGTGACCAGATGTCCCGATATTTGGGGCTTTGTCTTATATAGGCTCCTATTACCCTCCCACCCCCATCCCGATTTTTCACACTCGCTATCTGGTCACCCTAATACGAAGCTCTACTGTAAAGTGCTTTGAGATCTAACATCGGTAGGGATGAAGTGGGCGTAATTTGTAAAATTATGTATGTTTTATTATGGAGTGGAGGCGCGGGTGGCGGTGGCAGAGAGAGGAATAGAACACAGGTCTCCTGACATCTAGTCCTCTATCCATTAGCCCACCACAGGCGGCAGATAGCTAGGGGTAGTGGGTGCTCATCCTCCCCCCTAAACTATTCCTGCCTGCCCCACTCAGCGGGAAAACCAGGGCCAGGAAAGAGGTAGGAATGGCCCCACCTGTGCACGGACACTCGTGTTACGTGACGCTCTAGCAGGCTCCTCCGAATTCTGCAAAGGGCTGGAGCCGGCCCCAGACCTGTGGGATGGGAGTCACCGCCAGAGCTCCCTTTAATTTTTCCCACCCATGTGCAGAATGAATTTTGTTATGTGCAGGGTGGATTTGATTTAAATCACTAGTCAGGAAGACTCGATTTAATCATGGATTTCTACATAAAAGTGCATTCTTGTTGGTTGGTATAATCTTAATACATATTCCTCACAACTCAGATAGATGAGACCCAAATTGGGTCTCTTTTATGGCTTGCTGCCATTATAGGTTTTCCCGTCTAGTGAGAGAACGGTATGGTAGATCTCAAATCAATGACGGCTACGCTCAGAAAGACCTCAAGACTTCTGGATTATGCTGCTCAAACAGTTTCACTTTTGTTTCTACTGCCTGTCCCTCCCTTCTCCCATTTATCTCCAGACTTTGGCTGGGGGTGCGGGCTCTGAGGTGGGGCCGGGGATGAGGGGTTTGGGGTGCAGGAGGGTGCTCTGGGGCTCCCCCCAGCTCTCTCTCGCCGC